CCGGCTCTCTCAGGGGTTTCTGAGATGTCACGCTCAGATGTACATGGTGCATGGTGTCTCTCTCCTCCTTTATAGTCCTCTTACACCAATCCATGCTCTTCTACCCACATGCCGAGCACGCTGCTCTCCTCCAACCAGGAGCAGGATCAGCTCCCACAGTCCATCAGTCAAATTGGCGAGGCAGCTGCGCAGAAGCTGTTTACTCCTCTCCCAGCGCCATATTGTGGGAGAGCAGATGCATAGAATAAGTCTTAATTCCAGTAACTTAGTCTAGTCTCAGTTGCTCCCCACAATTTTGAGTTATATACCTTTCTCACCTATTTGTTTAGAACTGATCTTCAATATTACTCCAGAAATATTGAATCACACCTACCCATTTTTAAAAATCCATTTTGCTCAATAAAAAGAGTGCTCAGTTGCCTATAAATCAATAAGTCATCAAAGTTTTTTATTTAACAGATCACCAGGGGCTGGTGCTGTGGCATAGCAAGTAAAGTCACCCCCTGTAACACCAGCATCCTATATAGGCACCAGTTCGAGACCTGGCTGTTCCATTTCCATTCCAGCTCTCTGTCTATGGCCTGGGAAAGCAGCAGAAAATGGCTCAATTGCTTGTGCCCCTGCTCTTATGTGGGAGACCTGGAAGCTCCAGGCTCCTGGCTCTGGCCTGGCCTAGCCCCAGCTGATATGGCCATTTGGCCAGTGAACAAGCAAATGGAAGACACCTCTCTCTCTCTCTCTCTCTCACTCACTCTCTCTCTCTCTCTCTCTGCCTCTCTGTAACTCTGCCTTTCAAATAAATAAATAAAAAGCTATCTTCCATCCATTGGTTCACTACCCAAATGGCTACAACAGCCAGAGCTGAGCTAATCTGAAGCCAGGAGCCAGGGTCTCCCACGTGGGTGCAGAGGCCCAATGACTTGGGCCATCTTCTCCTGCTTTCCCAGGCCATAACAGAGAGCTGGATCAGAAGTGGAGCAGCCAGGACCCAAACTGGTGCCCATATGGGAGGCCAACACTGCAGGCAGTGGCTTTACCCACTATGCTGCAGCACCAGCCCCCATAAATAAATAAATCTTAAAAAAATGATCACCAATAAGCCTTGCTTTCTGGAATGGCAACTTGACCAATTGCTATCACAAGGATATTAACCACATTATGTTTTATATCAAACCTACCCAAATGACAATTGCTTGAACACTGAGTCATAAAGTTGCAAAGAAATAGAGCACAGGGAACCTTTTATTTACGCTTTCACTTTCATCTGCAAACTCGAGAATCCTACAAGAATAACTTAACTAGGAACACTAGACACATGTGTATACACATACACAAACACAGGAGTACTTTTTAAGTGTTTATTAGTAGGTCTCACGAAATATAGCCCACAAATCTTTCGCTTGATATTGATTAAATAGTACTAAATTCTAACATTTGATAAGTCTATGTGACTCCTTCAGTGTTGTAGCTCGTGAATAGCCACTAGCCAGATTTCTGTTTCAAGTGTTTCCTTTCCCTGGGCACAACTCACAAGACTTTACTTAGACACTTACAGACCATGACAACAGTTTCAAGTTCCTGTACTACGTGAACTGCAACGTCATCTGCAGTAACCTCACACGCTTCCCTGAAACATCTCCTACAGAATCCACGTCTTGTTACATGGAATTAGGGAATAAAGGAATAGTAGGGCAACAAATGACATCAGAATAGCTTAAAAAAATACTTTACTATCTCTGAAGGATTTTTACTTGTAATTTTTACATGCTTCATGTCTCAGAACTTTAAAGTAAGATCCTAGAAAAAGGAAATTAGAGCCCCAAATATATTACATTATTTTTATTCATCTGTATGGAAATTGACCTTCCTTTTATTTGATCTAGAATTCAAATTAAAAAACAGACAGATGTTAACATACCTGTCATAGCCCAGAGGTTGAGGAAATTGACCATTAAATTTAAGACTGCTTCTAGAAATTGTATTCCCTGGTGATATGTTATTTACGCGCTGTAATATATAAGTAATTATTTGTTATTCCATACAAACATTTCTCTTTCTCTTTCTCTCTCACTCTCTCTCACTCTCACTCACACACACACACACACACACCCCATCTTCAAAAAGTCCACAGAAAATGCATATGATGATAAAAACTAAGCGTGAAAATCAAGTGGCAAATTGTAGCAAAGATAACCAATCTTCTCTCTTTATCATCTAATCTTAAGTCTAAACCCTACTGCATATTCCATTAAGCAGTGCTCTAATTCGCCAGATTTGCTAGGAACCTGGAATACCAACTTCCTTGGACTGAAATCTTTTCAAACCATAGCTCCTATGCTGATGATATCACTATCATAAAGATATTCAATGTGACTAAACCCATCAACCAGCCTGAAACACTCGCTCGCTTTTTTTTTTTTTTTT